GAAAGAGAAAGAGACACTGCATCCTGAGGAGAGGATCCAGCATGGGAAACTGCAAACCCTCCCCTAGGGCTCAACACACTTGCCTAAACAGGGCAGTGTCCAGTGTCTCTGTAGCAGTGGGTGTTGTATGCCCCCCACCTCCAAATGCTGCTCCAGCAGGTCCTGCATCACATCTGCCAGCTCCGTGCATGTGTCTCACCTACCTAATGTAGCTCAGAAGGACCAGTGACCTTATTTTCCTGGCCCGTACTCTCACTGGTGAAGCTTCAGGACCAGATCTCCAACCACTTGCAGACAGACAAGAGGAAATTCAACTTACCACTTGCTTTTCCAAGCACAGCACAAAACAGACTCAAAAGCAGAGCGCGGAAAGTCATTTTGGAAGGTGGCATCCTCCTCAGCTGGAGAGAAATGAGAAGAGACATACGACTTAATAACAGATCATCTTCCAGTGATACCACCTCTCCAGGGCATGTGTTAACAGTTGCTTTGTCAAATAAGAAAAACGTATTTATGAGTGGCAGACATCAAATTTCACAGGTCTTACTAGACAACACAGAAACTGCTCGGAGGAAGGGGCAAAACATTGTGTGACAGAAGTTAGAAAGGCATTCATTTTCTGAACTGTTCCTCAAGGGCTCACATTTAGAGCCAGAATTGCAAACAGCAGTTTACTCTTTCATAGAGCACTTGCTCATGGATATTGAATTACTGAATGGATGAATTCATGCATGTAAAGTAATGGGTTTAATTTAACCATGCTTTTCAAACTCTGGCACTTGTAGCTCAGAGAGCCACATGAGCAGATAAAAAATTTTATAGACTCTCATTGTGATAGTAGAAAGGTCTATACAAACATTAAAGGCGAGAGATGAACAGACAAGTTACTCACTGTTTCTTCCAGCACAAACACTAGGTGACACCTCATTTAACTGCTAAGAGGACTGCTTCAGATGAACCAAAGGAAGTTCTTGTTAAGGGGATGAACAGTTTAGTGCTGGGACCCATTAACACAGGATTTTTGTCATCACTGCAAGGGTTCAAGCCATGCACAGGTTCAGAAAGGAACTGGATTGCTGAGCCAGCAGAGTTGTTCAGACATCCCTAGGGAATGGTTTTGCCCCCACATCCCCCCGCCTTTATTTTAGTTATCGGCAAATTATCCATTAATAACAAAGGCTGACTGTTGCAACAACGTACAAAGAGGAGAGCTGCACGGGGTGCCTGGTGGCTTCCACAAAAAGCCAGATGTACTGCTTGTAATTTATGAAGCAGCAAGAGCCCCAGGACCAGCTAGAGCAGCGGGAGAGAGTTAGAGTTAGCACACGAGACAGAAGGGATAAATCGGAAGTATCTTCTCTGAGGGCTTCAGGACTCTCCATCTGCCCAAAACAGAATGAACTGGGGAATCTTTGGGGCATACTGCACCTACTACGTACAAATATATTTGCGAGGAGGGGAAGGGGCAAGAGGGAGGCTGTGTTTCTGCTTTCCTTAGTGAATAACTCTTTACTTGCTTCCCATTCCCTCAGCCAGTTAACACTGCCATAATACAAATGAATCGTTGACCTGCCTGGAACTGAAGCTTGCATCATATAAGTGGAAAAATTTATTTGACAAAAAGCATGTTTGTAACACATATCACGTACTGAACTTCTTGCCAGTACCAGCAAGGCTACCTGATGCTTCTTGGGAATATATCCTATCAAAAATACAGACAAAATCCAACTTTTACACAACAGGCAAGAATAGAAAATTGAACAAACCGTAGGCATTTTCTGTGCTACCATACTGCTCTAGAAAGTGAAGACAGATGAGTAAATGAATGAGAGGGAGAAAGGAAATTGCATTTAAAAACCAAATTCCCAGCAGACTTGTGCGTATAACATATACACCCTTGAAGTAACCTGCATTTATGTTTTAAAGTCTCTGGGCCAAAACAAATCCTTATACGACTCTACAGTTATGAAGCGCGAATACAGACTAAGTTCTTATACATAAAATCAAGAAATAAGACTCCATCAGCAACAAGCCGAATGAGTAATGAACTTGCTGGAGGATATAGCATAGTTGGATACTTGAGCACGGCGCTCTCTAAGGTGTTCAGTCAGATATTCCTAAAAACATGCAAAAATCAATAGCTAGCATAAAAGACGAGAGAGAAATTTCAAGTTGTCAAGTGTTTATATACCACAGAAAGATGTGCCACACGTGCAGGAAAGCACAATATTCAAAAATAATCTAATATCTCGCTGCTTCTGATCTGGTACCCAGCATAGATACAAGATGTCAATGAGGACAACGTACAATTAGGAACTAGAACATCTTGCAGTTATACTGGTCGCAAAAAAGTCCCTCTAAGGCAGAGACCCATTCTAGCGTACTAGGGGAAAGAAGAAGAAGAAAAAAGGGCATTAAGATGAGGGCAAGTAAAGAGCAATCCTTCCCATGCTGCGGTCTCCCAAATTGTATCTCAGAGGTTTCCTGAGCTACAGACTGTATCCCCATTGGTGCATTTAATTGCCCTCAATGACCTTTTAGAATTCTTTTCTAATCAACTGTTAAAAACCTTTCATACCTTCGCCGAAGTATACTTTTTTAAGCAAAGAGCGCAAGTCTAACTGGGGCCGGAGCCCATGCCTCACTGTATTACCATATCCGGAAACACGTGGGGCACAAAAACGGCTCAAGCCCCTGCAGCCCTGCAACCCCGTTTCTGGCCCTTCGCGCCCCCTCCCGCCCCCCGTTATTCAGTACGCTTTACCGTCCGGACAAAGAGCAGGTTGCGCCCGGCTGAGCGCTCCAGCGCAGCCGCTCCGGGCGCCAGGCGCGGGCTCTGCGACGCCAATCTCCGCGCATG